CAAAAGAGTGAAATGAAAAGAATCATTTTGTAACAAATGATTGATTTTTGATTGATCTCTTGCATATGAGGGCATGCATCCAAACAATAATGTTGTGAGATCTTGCTTTCCCTTTTCAGAAATGATCTCTTGTTTGTTGGTATGCATTTATCCCCGGTAGCCAAAAAACTGCATCTCTAGCACTTTCACATGAACTAAGTGCATGTTTGGCTAAAGGTGAAAATGAATCCACATTTTTTTTAAATTGTAGGGAGCCATGGTTGATTGTGGTTGAGTGTTGTTTGGCTTCCATTTTGGCATGGTGATGAGCCCTCTCTCCCAAAGTCTTCTCTCTCCCCCCTTTTCGTATCTCTCTCTCTCCCCCATCCCCCCACCAAGGGAAACCCTCTTTTTCGCTCTCTATCAGTCTCTATCACTGAGAGGGTTGTAATGAATCTATCAATAAAAGTTGTTGCCCAACATTTAGAGAAAAAATTAAGTTTCATGCAATTTCTAGGTCTAATTTCATGCGATTTATGGAAAGTCACTGGAGAAATGGATTTAGGGCTACAATATGTCAGGGAAAGTCACGACAAAACTGGGATGAGAATAGATAAGAATTGAAGGTTTATGATTTGGGTAAATTGAAGAAATCAGGCTGCTGGAAGCTTGTTGGGTTTTGTGGCCTTTAAAGGCCTAGAGAGCTTGTAAAAATGATATATATAGTGGAATATGCACTTCAGTGGGAGTATGTATGTTGACTGACCATGGGTTGGGCGGTTTATGGCCCTGATCATGTCCAAAACCCTTGGCCTTGGGTGTGTGGCACTACCGAGGAGAGTTTGCAGTGGGTCATCCCTTGTTGAGGTCGGAGAGATGCCCAAAGATCATGTTTGTAGGCCAGGAGAACTGTGTGGTCTCCTGTGTGCGGTTGTAGACCTGTGAGAGCAAGGGCCAAATCCTCAACAAACTTCCACACAACATGTACATATGATAGCCGCGTGGGAAACAACCCTTTTAGAGGGACATGTGTACATTTGTATTGAGAGAGCCCCCTTTTGCACTGTAGTGATAAGTTCTAAACTTGCTTATAAAGGAGGGAACTGTAATCCACATTTCAGGATCATAGTCTTACTATTTTATTATCTAACTTTGACAAGCCAATCATGAGCCCTGTAAAGAGATTGTGGGTCATGAGATTTTGTTGGGTTGGATAAGAGAGCACTTGTAGATTATGGTTTATGGGGCGAGTGGAGTGCCCTTAGTATCACTTATTTTGACCCATTGGTACCAGTCTTGACCCATTGGTACCAGTCTACTCGTAGTATATTTTATTTTGATATATAAATGTTTCTTTGATTTTTAAATATTCTTTTTAGAATTTTAAAATATTATTTCTGCTAATTTTTGAAAAAGGGTATTTTTGAAAATTTTAGAACTTTATACCACATGTGGGACCACGTGCCACCCTAGGATCACGCCCTAAATTATCCTTTTTGCATAAAGGGCACGCCTTATATTTTTGGTGTGGGCCACGCCCAAAATATTTATTGTCAAGCTTTATGTGGCTCCACGGCACCTGTTTTAGGAAAATAGGGGGACGCCGCATTTTTCTTAAAATACCTTTTTGTTAACTAAAGGGGGCCACGCCACTTTATGAAGGGAAAGGGGGCACGCCCCATTGATTTGATATTTGTTTTAAATATAACTGGAAATCTTATTGTTTCAAATAAGATTTGATATTTGATTCAAATATTATGGGAAATCCTATTCATTTAATTTAGATTTGATTTCCCAAATATTGTGGGAAATCTAGATAATATTTTCCTAGAAAATATTTAAGATTGATTTCAAATTTTAAAAGGATAAAGTTTAAATTTGATTGGATTTATTTTAAATAGGAATGGATTGGGTCATAGTGTAAGGGCACAATGTTCCTAATCTTTCTACCCAAAATCATGATGGGTGATTTTTGGGATGTATGACTCTAATTAATCTCACCCCACAGATTTCCTATTTATCCTAAAAAGGTGTAGCTAGAAATTAGATAAGGCAAATCCTATTCAAACTAGAAGATAGGTTATCTCTGGATTTCTTTCTATTTAAAGACCTAGTTTGAACCTATTTGAGATCCAATCACATGATTTTCCTTTTTCTCCCAAGAGATCTCTCTCCCTCACGCAGTAATTATTGGGGATCTCTCTCTCCCTCACGCACTAATATTGAAGGGGGTCTCTTCTGTCTCTCATGCACCAAATTTGGGGGCAGATCTCTCTCTCTCTCTCTCTCTCTCTCTCTCTCTCTCTCTCCTCACACACCTAATTTGGGGGGAGATCCCTCTCGCTCCCTCACGCACCAAATTGAGGGGGGGGTCTCTTTTCTCTCTCACGCGCCAAATCTGAGGGGATCTCTCTCCTCTCCATACCAAAAAGTTTCTCTCTCTCTCTCTCTCTTTTATTTTACCATGCCATCTCTCCATCTCTCTTAACCTAAAGAGAGGCACGACATCTCTCTCTCTCTTAACCAAAAGAGAGACATGCCATCTCTCTCTCCCTCCTGTATATTTTTGTCTTGAAAGAAAAATTAGAGGTGGCCTATTCTAGGAGAAACCCTAGATAAAAGGTTTGCTTTATTTTTTTTGAAGAAAGAAGAGAGAAGCCTAGCCTAGAGAGATGAACTTCCAAGATCAGCCTCTTTTGTTCCCATAGGGTTTTCATAAACCCTATATTGTTCTTGAGCTCTCTAAAACCCTAGAGGAAGAAGGATTGTCTACAAAGCTTCCCTATCTTAGAATTTCCAGCAACATCTTAAGGAAGAAAGGTGCGTCACTAGTTAGGGAATCGGGTGTGGGGTGTACCAATTCCTGATTGGGTAAGTTCATGCATCTTTCAGTAAGTATTCCCATTAGTTTTTATTTATTTTCAGTTTTATTTTCTATTTTTCTATAATTTTCCAGGAACTTATATTGTGTTAAAAATTGTTATAAAAGCTAGTTTAAAGTTCCTGGATAGTTTCTATTTCTCTTGGCAGTAAAAATAAAGATCCTAGGTTGTATTTAGGACATTGTTTTAATTTTTCAGGAATATATTGCGGCACATGTACCTGGAATTCAGGTACTTGGAATAAAAGTAAAAGGAAAATTCTGAATTTAATACCTTAAGTTCCACATAGCCACAACTTTCAAGCTTGTGGTTCAGAGATAGAAAATTGACTCCATCTCGAAAAATGGGAGTTGAATTCCTAACTTCAATTTCCCATTCCTTTTTCGTAACCCTAAACATGGGACCAAGCTTACTGTTAAAATCCCCAATTACAAGCCCCCTCTCTTTTCTTCCCATGCCCGCAATGTCCCGCACCTGCCACAGCCCCAGCCCCCGCCCCCGGCCCCGCCCCCGCCCCCGCCCCCGCCCCCTTCTCTCGTCTTTGCTACTTTCTTTGGGCATCGTTCTCTCTTCTCTGCTAAATAGAAAATACTCTCGCCCAAATTCAAGCTTTCGTTCCCTGATTTTTATGGAGTCTATAAAAAATGGTGCCTTTTTACTATAGAAACTAAGAAGAAGAAGAAATGAGCACTCATGGCTTAGAGGACCAGCTGAAAGAGGACTTGGATTCTTTGGCTCAGAGGACCAGCTGAAAGAGGACTTGGATGCTTTGATAAGGGCCTGCCTTTTAACTCGACGAGATGTTTCGGTCTCTTTTCATTCTCATGGCTGGACCGAGGGTAAAGATATTGATGACTAGAAGAGGACTTGGCTGCTTGCCCTTTTGTGCTCCAATTCTTTATTCAAAAGATACTCTTTTGCTTTCTCTCCCCTTCAATTTTCTCTCAATACTATGGAATCCCCTAGTCCACTGGGGCTTCCTATTGTGATTGCATCCTCTTCTTACAAAGAGACGTGCGTGTGTGTGTGTGTGTGTGTGAGAGAGAGAGAGAGAGAGAGAGAGAGAGAGAGACGAACGAGGAGAGTGTTCTGTAGTAGAGAGAGAG